TATAACAACCACGACCATGATTATAACAACCACGACTAAGATTATAACAACCACGACCAAGATTTTAACAACCACGTCTATGATTATAACAACCACCTCCGTAATTAGTACAATGAGGACCATGATTATTTCAACCAAGACCATGATTATAACAACCATGACCATGATTTTAACAAGCTTGACCATGAATATAACAACCACGACTATGATTATAACAACCACGACTATGATTATAACAACCACGACCAGGATTTTAACAAAGACGACTATGATTATAACATATAAGATCATGACTATAACAACCACGACCATGATTATAGCAACCAGGACCATGATTATAACAACCACGACCATGATTATAACAACCTCGGTAAACTGTACCCCCGGACTCTCCACCGGGCACGAAGGGCCCACGATCACTTGTAGTGTTTTATATCAAAATTTAAAGAGTTATAATATTCTAGTTATTTAAATTGTTTTAATTTCATATTTAAATCTATATATTTTTAATAATTCTAATGACCCTCTCTTTTATAAAAAAACAGGGGGCTTCTGTCCTATTTTGCTCTTTTACTGAAGGCTTTTGTCATAGGGACTTTTGTCGTAGGGGCTTTTGTCCTAGGTGGCTTTTGTTCCGGGGGGCTCTTGTCCGGGTCCCCACATTGACTTTGGGATTTTTATGGGGCCTCACTGTCGTCTCACCAAAGTCTCTTCCTTCTCTGATCTTCTCTATCTGCCTCACACCAAAATTTCTCTGATGCTCATCGTCACTGCGCAGGAATGAAGCCAGGATGTTCTCAGGATGAGCGCGGTAAGCCCCTCTTATCACTGCATCAGAAATGATGTTCCTGACCTCGGTAGTCTGGCTCCTCAGCAGCCTCAGGCTAGACACAACGTGTTCAGGATCTGTCAGCTCCATGTGAACGAGCTCCCCCTGAGGCACTTAATCATCAAGCTGGACGGCCCTGTAACTCCCTGTTCAGGCTTCAGTGAGCCTATTGTGAAACTTCTTGAGAAAGTGAATGAACTTGAGGTCAACTTCAAACCAGTGGAAGGAACAGAAGATATCATATAGCTGCCAGTAGAGCTAGTCTCCACCGACCAGCACAACTGCTATCTTCTGATCAAAGCCATCAAGTCTGGAAGTCTCAGTCCACAGTTGGCTGGTCTCAAGTGCGGACCTCTGAACCAATCCAGGTGGCTCACTACTGCACAGGCCATCTTGCTGATGTGGATAACGGAGCACGGACTGAAGGGGGAGGTGTTGAGGAGGCTCGAGGTCCTCGTGAAGTTGCCTTAACTTCTACTTCTAAATGTACTGCAACATCAAAGTGAAGCACCACTTAAACTTCTTATGTTTTACGTGAAATCTAAACATTTTTTCATCATCCAGAGGTGTTGAAGCACGCAAGAAAGCAAGGATGATGTTAGAGAAGCAGCTTTTTGACTAAATCATATGCAGAACAGCAGCACGCTTTATTTTTGGGTGCCCTGAGGCTGCGTTAGGCACCCTTCAAATCAGAAAATCGCGATTTTGAACATGATAATGCAATTTTGGGAAAAAGTAACAGAAAAGAAACTCCTCTTAGAATTAAATTTTACATAAGAATACATATTAGTTCGAGAGAAATTCGGACTTGAAAAAGTATGATATGCCCTTAATGATATTGGTCTTTGGAGATATCACCCCATAATATTTTATGATTATCTTGTTCGGTATCTGGCCGTTATGATATTTTATGAAAATGTTGGTGAGGGGATGCTGAGGTAGGGGACCCGTCAGGTATCTTTTAAAGGGAGGAGAGTGGGATTTAACTCAGCGTTGCCTGGGTGGTGAGGTCATATAATCTGCTGTCTTGGGACGCTCGGTGTGTAATAGGACATGCTCGGGTCTTGTATGATTATTGGGTCGTGTGAGCTTACATTGGGACCAGTATAACTATTTTTTTTACAGCTAATGTTTTTCTAGTGATGTAAGGATGTGCTGAGGAATTAATACAAATGTCATACTATTACCTGTTGCGTCTCAGAAACACCAGTCCAGATCACGGAAATTATTAAAATAAATATTTGAAGTTTGTTTGTGCTGATTCGATATTCTGAGGGGACCTTCCACTGTACTACCATCCATAAATCACCCCCCATAAGTGCGATCAGTTACACACACACACACACACACACACATATATATATATATATATATATATATATATATATATATATATATATATATATATATATATATATATATATATATATATATATATATATATATATATACATGCTGATAACCACATAGCAAAAAAGAAAAACACAAAGCTCCCCTGTGCATTTGTGTAATTCACACCTTCAGATTCATAGAATCTTAGTGATGTTGTTATTGATGCAGGTGAGCCTTGATTATGTCACAGCACAGGTGAAGGTTGTTGCTAATGAGACAGGTATCTTACGGATTATGCATGAGCATGATATTATGCTGGAGATGAGTATTATTACATATTTTTTTCTAAATTTCCCAGGGACCTGTGAGTGCATAGGTCTGGCGGTGAAATTGTCTCTCCTCATAAGCACAGTAAGGCATTTATGTCCCCTGGGATGTAATAAAAAACAATACGATAGTAAATAACAATTAAATATAAATTTACCTTAAAGGCTTCCTCGTGACTTCATTCAACACCTTAAATAAGTCATTAACGTGACTCTCATAAATAGCGAAAAATATTGGTGTTTCTTGGTAAGAGGAAAATTTCATCCCTAGTTCTAAATACTCATATTTATAACAATGTCTTGTGACAGGTGTACCGGCAAAAGTCCGAGTGCACGTATAGCAGTTGACGTCCGGTTGTACGTATAGCAGTGGACGTTCGGTTGTACGTATAGCAGTGGACGTCCGGGCGCACGTGTCTTAGTGAATATCGGGTAGACAAAGATGGCGTGTGAGGAACTGAAGGAGAAAGAGAGCATCATGTGTGATGCCATTAACATATTGTATGCATTTTTACTCCTGACATTGGGAAAGTGTTCATGTCTTGCTTTCTTTCTTAGGGTATTTATTGCATTACTATAATCAGGTGGAGACAAGTAGGAAACATTATCTCAAGTTTTCATATCTTGTAGATAACTGGCCTTTATACTTGTATAATATGAAAGTAAAAACTTTGGTACAAAGATAATTTCCTGCCTGATGGAAAACTATCAGTTATGGTGATATTTTCTCAAGATTTTATCCCAATTCATCTGTACAGTGAGTTCATCACTGTCATAACAAAATTATAATACTTAATACTGTACTTTGTTATATTCTACTGAATTCATCCACAGAACAGGCCATAGTTCTCTTTATTACACTCACCCAACCCCAAGTTCGTGACAAAAATATTATTGTACTTTATTGCTAGATTTATTAAGAATTAAGAAAAAAGGAACAGATATTACACTCTATTCCTACGTTTTTATGGTTGTCACAGGCTTTATTTACTTATATTCACTGTAAGTGATCGTATTTCATTCCCAGAATTGGCTTATAATCCACACAAATAGGAAAATGAGGTGCACCTTAGCTTGGGATTCAAGTTTTTCATGCTCGTAAATCGTGTAGCAAGAGTAAACGTTTTGTGCCACTGACAACGTTTGGAGGGTGCAAGCATACCAACCTACCAGTCTTCCGCCAGTTGGTACACCTGACTACACTACGATGACTTAGTGACAACAAACGACTGTCGGGAACCACCATGGCCATTCTTGAAAAATAAAAAATAAATTCTTCCATTGTATTACGACCGCCGGGATACCACGGCATTTCTTTCAATTGGCCCTAAGTAGCTTATAATAATGGTTACCCTAAGTGTACAAAGATTTCCGGCATAAGGGTCACCGAGGCGCGAATTTGTTTTAGGCGTAAGACAGTGGTTCCCAATAAGTTTTAGCCATTACCCCAAAACCAGTCTGACAACAACACTCATTACCCCTACATAGGTGTCATGTTCAGTACGTTAAGCAGACTGGTGGTTGTGTATGGAATCAAGAAGCAGGAAAAATATGGCTATATCTTATGGGTTGTTGTTACCCCCAAAAAATGTCAAATTACCCCTTCGAGGGTAATTTACCCCTAATTAGGAACCGCTGTAGAAGCTATCGCTAACACAACAACCACACCCTACGTCAGCGAGTTGCATGTCCCAGTGCCAAGGAATAGTCCGGAGAAAACCGGACAACTCGCCAACTACACTGGCGAACATCTAGGTTCCCAATTACTCATACCCACCAGAGGTAAATGACGTAATGAAACGTGCCTATAGTTTCACCCTGCCCAGGGATCGAACTTGCGCCCACTGGCTTTCGAGGCGAGCACGTTGATCATTACACTACAGGTCGCCATAAGCAGCTTGTAAGGGGATCTACTGGCTACCCCGAAATCTCCTTTGCTTTGGGATAAATCTTTGGATAAATCTTTGCATTGTTAAGTCTATTCACACTTCATGAAAGCAAATCGGTTGCGACACAGAAGATCAATTCGGCCAATTTCTCTTGTAGACTTTCCAAACACATTCTCCTTACAATAACCTATCAATCTTCCTAGATCTCGTAAGAATTCGTAGGCTTTCCTTCTTTCATACTCTTAATTTTGCTCTATACCTAATGTGAAACACAAATGTCACATCCATGTACTGTACATTGATTTCATATTAATTGTCAAGAGTAGATACATGTTTACCAAGTCTTCCGTGTTATCATGAGCACACTATCAATTGCATGTATACAGTGAGACCTACAATATGTCATACAAGATACTTAAACTGCCAGAGTTGACAATGAATACCTGGTACAAGGGCCCTCAGTCAATAAGTCTTATAAATCTGTTGAGAATGTTGATTAAGAAAAGATTCTTGAACTATAATTATTATATATAAGGAGAGTACAGCAAATAGATAAAAATCAAATTGCTTAATAAGATTATAATGAAAGGGGTATTGATATAATGCTTTTAATGGTTTGAAAAGTTTATTTTGGTTTTCTATAACAGACATACACAAATTTTTAGTCTTGCTGTGAATTTTTCTCTATGTGAAGCTAATCTTGGAACTCTTTTCATAGGTAAAGATTTAACCTTAAAACATTTTCTATAGTGCGTGAGCTTATACTGGAACCACTTAATTACTCTAAAGTCATGTCTTCAAACATCATTTCTTGTACAGAGTTTATGTTGTACTAAAGTCACCCCTTGATAAATCCCTTGAATGAAGAATTCATCAGAGAAGAGTCTCAAAACCCAGGAAAATTAAACTAACGAAGAATCCACCGAAGAGAACCACAAATATCCCCTGAAAAACAAGACCGCCATCAATAGTGCTGGAAATCTGAGATAAAGTAATTTGATATTGATGATTACCTTTATTAATATTATTATTATTTACACGTGAAATATATAATGAAGATGAATCCGGATTTTCTTACCCATAAATTGGAAATGGAGAGAGAATTACTGACAGATATTTTGGTTGGAGGGTCAAGACAAGCTGTGTAGTTTGGGATGGCAGACTGTATCCAATATTCGTAGAGCCCGAACTCATTTATTGCTAAGGCCCTATAAATGACGAAATAATAGTTTAATGAATACACGAACTAGGCAGTTAGGACTCCTTCACTTCATTACTATTTCTAAAGGGCATGTATATTCACCTGTAGGATTTAAACTTTGGTTAATTTTAATATTTTGCTTTTTATAGATAAATTGAAGCAAAGGTTATTAATTAATAACGTAAGTTTTATAAGGTATGAATTAGAATTTCATACCTGTCATTAAAAGGTGGTAGAAAAGGACTGTCCTTAGGAACCATCATACCAGCCATACTTGGCTTGATTTTGTCTTTGAGTAAGTAGAGATCACACCGACCTGTGGAACCAAATAATGTAATGAAATATTCTTGAAATATGTAATATTACATAAAAAAACAGCAACGTTCATATAGGGCCTAAAAAAGGTACCCGATAATATTTTTGTTCACAAAAGCATCTAATTCAGGTCTAGATCATGATTGCTGGGAAACTTAATGTTGATGAAAAATCCACCTGTGTTGGAGAACTGTTGACCCAGTAGGATTGACAAGAATTCGTCGTAGAGGATGATGACATGGTCGCCGCGCTTCACAAAATTGTCTATACTGGAGTAGAACTCCTTGACTGGTATCCGCCTTGCCCGGCCTTTCTGCTCCAGATCAGCAACCTCCTTCAATATACCCATTTCCTTTGACTGAATAAAATACACATATATATGTATATATATATATATATATATATATATATATATATATATATATATATATATATATATATATATATATATATATATATATATATATATATATATATATATATATATATATATATATATATATATATATATATATACTCATAATTTTGCTCTATACCTGATGTGAAACACTTATGTCACATCCATGTACTGTACATTGATTTCATATTAATTGTCAAGAGTGGATACATGTTTACCAAGTCTTCCGTGTTATCATGAGCACACTATTAATTGCATGTACTGTATACAGTGAGACAGACAATATTTCAGACAAGATACTTAAACTGCCAGAGTTGACAATGAATACCTGGTACAAGGGCCCTCAGTCAATAAGTCATATAAATCTGTTGAGAATGTTGATTAAGAAAAGTTTTTTGAACAATAATTATTATATATTAAAAGTGTGCAGCAAATAGAGAGAGAGAGAGAGAGAGAGAGAGAGAGAGAGAGACTCATTAATTACACATTTAATTTCTGTTCAAAACAAACAATCTTAAATCATAGATGATTATTCCAAATTCATAAATTATCTTTTTTTATGTGACGCACACGAATATACTGCTCAGTAGACGAATCCTGCTGCCAAATGATGCCTCCTGACTTGTCATCTACGAGCTCCCGGAGGTTCACGTAAGGTTTCGGTATGTATCGTACTGCTAGATGGGAAATGAGGTTGCCGGCGTAGCTCCGTGTTAGCACCAGCGTCATCAACATCCACACCGCCAACACCACCCGCTCCCACCACCACCATTCCTCAGTCAGGTGATAATCTGTCGGAAGGAATGGTTGTAGGGAGGAAGTTGAAAAAAATATATTTAATTTTCCTTGTAAAAAAAATACTGTATTGTTTCTTAAGGTACCCAAGATGTTTTTTTTTTTTTTATTTACCGAATACATTTTAATTGTTTATAAGCAGAGCAGGTTTACCTTTATGGGAACCAGTGGTTAAATAAATTATGGAAGTCCTTTATCTCTCACATGTAAAGAAAAATACCCAAATAAAATCAAATAATGACAGCACAGTAGTACTCACAAAGCAAGAATTCAATGCACCACAAAGGATTTATTCATCTTGTTTGTATTTTTACCAATTTTGGTTTTTATTAAAGATATAGAATGTTTCTCATTGGTTTCTGGGGCCCCTTATATTACAAGGCCCCTGAGGTTTAGATTCATATGCCTTGGCTTAATGTGGCCTTGCTTACATGGAATTAATTTTAGAATATGGTTAAAGTAGCGCTGGGTTTTGGCAAGAAGATAGGTGGAAAGGAGATGAATAGCGGTGATGCTGGAGCTGTATGTCTTGTGGATATTCTAGGACTGTATTGGTGGTGTAGGAACAAGGTGAGTGTATCCTATAAGATTATTAGTGGGACATTCCTTTCTAATTAAATTACAGGGTATAATGCTATTTAATTTAAGTGTTGCGTTATGAGGTGCAGTTAATAGCATCCGTCAATATCGTACTGACAGTAGATAAAGTCTAACGAAATCTGTCACATATGAGTCGCACTTGAGTTATGCTGACAATATTACGATGAATAAATACAAAATCGAAGTTGCTGACACCTGACTGATGGCATTTGTGTGTGTGTGTGTATGTGAAAAATTAGGCTTCAGATTTATGCTCGTTTCGTAATGCTCTTATGCGCATTAAGCAGTGATACTGTAGAAATAATGATTTTACGGGTATAAAAAGTTGACCCTGCATGCAGAAAATTGCCAAAAATATGGGAAATATTCTTACTGAAATTACATATTCACGGTTAACTAATCTCTTCAGCTTTGCTAAATTTTTAATTCAGCATAACCCGAGAATTGAGATTAAGGATATTGAAACATTCCTGTTGGTAGCTGTCAAAATTCCCTGTGTGGTAAGATATATTGGTGTACGTCTGAAAATGTTACCATTAAACCATGATGTATGAATACTTATACCCTACACCCCAAAAAGATTTTGTTTTGAGTTTTCTAAGGATACATATATGTATATATATATATATATATATATATATATATATATATATATATATATATATATATATATATATATATATATATAAAAACAAAAGAAGTATGTCTTTTTTGTTCATGTGTGTTTGTATGTTTGTGTGTGTGTCCGCACGAGAATCTCGGAAACTTCTTTACCGATCTGTAGTGATGATGGTTGGTGTTATAGTAGTGATGATGATGATGTTATATGGAGTGATGATGGATATTGTTATATGTAGTGATGATGGTTGGTGTTATATGTAGTGATGATGGTTGGTGTTATATGTAGTGATGATGGATGATGTTATATGGAGTGATGATGGATATTGTTATATGTAGTGTTGATGTGTGGTGTTATATGTAGGATGATGGTTGGTGTTATATGTAGTGATGATGGTTGGTGTTATATGTAGTGATGATGGATGATGTTATATGGAGGATGATGGATATTGTTATATGTAGTGTTGATGTGTGGTGTTATATGTAGTGATGATGGTTGGTGTTATGTAGTGATGATGGTTGGTGTTATATGTAGTGATGATGGATGATGTTATATGGAGTGATGATGGATATTGTTATATGTAGTGTTGATGTGTGGTGTTATATGTAGTGATGATGGTTGGTGTTATATGTAGTGATGATGGTTGGTGTTATATGTAGTGATGATGGATGATGTTATATGGAGTGATGATGGATATTGTTATATGTAGTGATGATGGTTGTGTTATATGTAGTGATGATGGATGATGTTATATGGAGTGATGATGATATTGTTATATGTAGTGTTGATGTGTGGTGTTATATGTAGTGATGATGGTTGGTGTTATATGTAGTGATGATGGTTGGTGTTATATGTAGTGATGATGGATGATGTTATATGGAGTGATGATGGATATTGTTATATGTAGTGATGATGTTGGTGTTATATGTAGTGATGATGGTTGGTGTTATATGTAGTGATGATGGTTGGTGTTATATGTAGTGATGATGGATGATGTTATATGGAGTGATGATGGATATTGTTATATGTAGTGTTGATGTGTGGTGTTATATGTAGTGATGATGGATGGCGTTATATGTAGTGATGATGGTTGGTGTTATATGGAGTGATGAGATGATGTTATATGGAGTGATGATGGATATTGTTATATGTAGTGTTGATGTGTGGTGTTATATGTAGTGATGATGGTTGGTGTTATATGTAGTGATGATGATTGGTGTTATATGGAGTGATGATGGGTGGTGTTATATGTAGTGATGATGGATGGTGTTATATGTAGTGATGATGGATTATGTTATATGTAGTGATGATTCCTGGTGTTATATGTAATGATGATTAGACAATAAAATAATAACAGTTTAATGCTAAAAAAATATACTTTGCTGTACCGTTGAAGTGAAAAACATGGTGGAACTTACATACACCGTTAATGAACTATTGATGGAAGAAGAAGCTTAAGGGGACTGAACAGTGAGACAATGTGGAGCCTCCCGGAGGGTGGCGTCCTACCGTTGCCTAGCGGATGGGCACGATTCTGCTAGTATATATATATGTAACCGGTCGGAATTACTGGACTTTAATTTCTCACTTGACTTTGGGGTTTATTAAAGATTATTAGATGGTAATTGCAGTGGAAACGCCCCTTTGAGAGAAATCCCGAACCAGCACACGAACACTTAAATTTACTAAACAAAATGAATTGTAACGGATGGATAGCGCTCTGATCGGGATTAATGAGACACACTGTAAAATTTCACACTTATATTCCAAATCTACAGACACACTCAAATAATGGTACACCAACATATGCCCAACTCTTAACCCGAACTTAAAACACTACTCTGGGAATAAAAGTTATACATGATATTGAAATTATTAGAAACTCAGGCAATGCCTCAGTAGACAACAAAAAGTTTAAAGTATTAAGAAATGTTGCTTGCACACACGAAACAGGCCTTAAGGGCTTTCAACAAAATAATATCAACCACTGAGAAAATGGTATAAAACAAATAGAAATTAATAACTCTACAATGAATAGGCCTTAAGGCACTCAACAAAATTATATCACCCCAACAGATGCACAATTCCTAACCTAACTTAAACACTACTCTGGGGAACAAAGGTTACACCTGAGATCGGAATTATAAAGAAAAATTATATTCATTAAAGGAATTAAATCACAGTATCACTCTGGTTTCACTTAGTGACACAAACATTATAAAACAATACTATCAAAATCATTTAAGAACTATTACTACACACGTCAAGATAATATCAGTAACTGAAAATGGTACTAACTACACACAAAAATATTGTCACTATTATTGAGATGTTACTGGGTCCACCCATACCGTGAACCATGCTCCACCCAACTCAACATACACCCGTAATAAGGAGATAAAATGTTTCTCTAGGTATCCCTAGACTCCTGGTCTCAGTGTGACCATTAATCTACTCAGATAGCCTCAGTGTACTCTCAGTGCGTCCATGGGCGGGAAGAGAGAACGCCAACAGGTGACTATGGCCAGTAGGTAATACTTCAATCTGACCGAGGACACGTGGTGTTGTGCAACCAGTGATAAGAACTGATCACCCAATGCTGATGCTGGTCCTGTATCGTTTCAGTTGTCGAGCACTCGTTCACTCAAGAGATCCTTTGCTACCGCTAACCAGTGACAAGCCTGCACTGATCGTTCCAACGGCGACAATCGCCAATCATCAATCCTCAACGGCAGTATCAAACGGCAGTCAATCTCCGGAGTCAATATCTAACAGTCAATTTCTAGTCAAGTGGGTTCTGACGGAAACCTTGTTATACTGCAATAGCGCAACACAGGTGACTAGAACACGTGACCGTTTGTGGAAGGACGAGCAGGACGTCCTGTCTGTCCGATCGTTTTCGCGTGACTGAGAAACAGCCAGCCTCGTGTCCTCTCAAGGCGTTAGCTTAGGCCTACGTGACATATTTTCCGCCTAACTAATTACTTTCTTGGGACCCCTGTAACATTATTCAGACTGATAAACGATATATAATAATTTCAAATTCAATAATAGTCCCTTAACTTCATGGATCGCATCATTATTAATTCGGCAAATTACATCTATATATCATAAAGGCCTAGTTCCACAAACTCTTGCTACGTGCGAGAGCGCGGTCTTCCCTCAGACGACCTTGAACTCAGTCTCCAATGGAGCGGGGTTTGAAATTACACTGAAATTTCTGAAGATTACATATATATATATATATATATATATATATATATATATATATATATATATATATATATATATTTCATTTTTAGTCCATATAACATGCGGACTTTGAACATATAATCAACGACCTCACCAGCCAGGACTCGAACCCTCGACCTACTTTGTGGGACCAGGTAAAGATCTTGTAACTAGATTTAAACAACATAAATATAGTGTTAGGACAGGCCAGGAATCCAATGCTCTGTTTGTTCATTTGAGGGATAATAAGCATTGCATTGACTGGGATATTGCCTCCTCAATATTACCTTGTAATTCAATTGACAGTAGGAACATTATAGAATCTAGTCTCATTAAATATCCCGAATCCGTCAACATGAATTTAAGCAATGGTATGTACAAAATGGATAATTTCGTAATTAAGAAGATTTGTAACCAGGTGAGAAGGTTGGGCAACTTACCCTCTGACCTGACTACCTACCGCTGTGGTACTTTTGTGAAGATTAGTAGGGTCATTACCTATACCAGACCACTGTGGACTTGATCTCACCCTCCTCTGTATATACA